TGCAGTCTCGTTAAGAATGAAGCTACTGGCTTGGACAAACAACAAGATAGCATGGCCAAGGAAGTAGCCTGCAGGACTAAGTCCATTGAGGGGACAATTGCCTTTCATAGACATGCCTCACCAAAAAAAAGAAGTCTGGTATTCTATAGGGGCTATGTGCATTGGCAAACAAAAATCTGTTTAATTTGACACCAGATGGTACTTTACATTGTATTGATAAAATAAATATGTCAGCAAAGAAAATGGACATAGCCTAGCAGTGATACTGTTCATGCCCCAGCCTTGGAATATTTCTCAGTGGCAAAGTCAACTGCTTTATTCCTCTACTGGTAATTCCTTTGGAAAGTGGAAGCCTCCCTCTCTTGGGTTCCTGTAGGCTATAGATTCTACTTCCCCTCTGGAGGAGGAGGAAATCTTGTACTTCATAAAGGGCTAATAAGCAAATGTTCATTTACCATTTTGTTTTTGTCCAGAAAAAGTATGGGTGCAATTCGCCTATTCTACCTTTAAGAAACCTTAATTTCTTTATCCTATCCAGAAAGTTCCTAATGGTGACCCTGACATGCTCCTTCCACCCCAAGAAGGGAAGAAGTTTGATTTGTGGATTTTAACAACACTTCCATACATATTTCCATTCAGCCTTATCATCCTTTTAGTTTTGAGCTGTCTATTGACAGCTCTTTGAGCGTCTATTCTGGGCTTTTATTGGGCTTCTATTCAGCCTGGCCTTTTGGTTTAGGGCTGTCAGAGGCAACTGAAGAGAAAAGCAGAGCACATCCCTCTAGGCAAGCCTGGAAGAGTGTGTGGGCAGGCCTCCCACCTGAAAGTCCCAGATCTAAAGAGTTCTGATAGATTCTCTGCACAGGCGCAACACCCATATGTGTGACTGCCTAGACTGAAAGTAGCACAGTTACAGGATAACAAACCTGATATGAGATATTAATTTGTAGCTGTGATAGTTTTCCTGAAAGAAAGGAGTGAAGAGGAATACTTTTCCAAGTCTTTTCCTTTACTATATCTTTCAATGTTCATGTGACAGAAAAATTTCAGCTAATAGGAAGGATTCGGGCTTTTTTTGTCATAGAACACACAGGAATGGCATTCCAGCACCTTTTTTGATGGATTTTTCCAACAGATTTTTCCAAGTGATTTTGAATCACCCTGTTGAGCGTAGCAGGTCGGCAGCAAAAATCATTAAAATAGTGCATGCGGGCTGCTTGTGTGTCCACGCTGATTGTGAGGGCACTACTCGGCTTGGGACGCTGCTAGGCTCGTGACTGGTCGTGTCGCGGGCTGAGTGCTTACTGCCGGCGGCGACCATTATGTTTATGTGTGTGTAGAGTGACTGGCTACGTGCAAGAGGTAAATAAGTTCTTTTTTCTAAAAAAAGTTGGTGAATTGAATATATATATTTTTAAATAAAAGATTAACAAGATGTGAGTTCTGGCACCTTTTTTTTTTTTTTTTACAAAAGAAGTACTGGGAAGGATTATAGAAATATTACCAAAACCCAAGGTCAACATAAATACATTTAGAAAATGCCTTATTTTGTTGATACTTTGAGTATATACTCTTTATTTATTTGCTTACATTATATAAAGTTATAAACCTTTAAATGTACTAAAGTCCTAAAATAAAACTGACAAAAAACTAACCACACTATAAATATAAATAAATAAAAATAAATGTGGCAAGAACAAATTTGGCAGGGCAAAAACACTGAAGGCAGAATCCTGTGCAAGTATGGAAAGGGAAGAAGCCTAGAAGTTCAAGCATTTCTCAGCCAAGAAAGCTTATTGATTTTAAGCACTTTTTCTGTTTAAATTTGCCTATGTTTGTCCCCTGATGATCTTAAAATAGTGGAAGGCAACCTGTAGACATGCTAACATTTTGTAAAACTTGTTCTGGGAACAATCAAAAATTACTGTGGAAAGTAAAAGTTTGGGAGTATACCCTTCTCAGAATTCTGTTACCACAGAATATAAAACTGTATATGGTATTTAAAAAATAATATTCATCATATTGGGAAAATTACTTGTAAAAATGTGTCTATTGTGCAAAATTACATTAAAAGTATGAAGGTTCTTTTAAAAGTTTCCGCACTTTTAAAAACTCTATTTATTAAGAATTTCAAAAACAAATTACATCACTTTTCTACATAGTCACCTTCCTTTGTAATGCATTTTTCCCCAGCATCGTACAAACGTTTTAATGCCATCATCAAAAAATATATAAACTATATTTATAGAATATAAAATATAAAAGTGTAGAAACTTTTTGAAAAACCCTCGTATTTATGCAAAAATGCATACAATTTTTCATGCACACATGTTACTTTTAAATAATCAAGGTTTGGAATGAACCAAAATGAAAACTGAAAAAAAAAAAGAGAAATCAGTATTGACAGATGTGTCTATCTGTATTTTGAATTTAGCTTGGAAATAGCTGGTACAAACAAACAAGACATGGGTGCAGTGTGGTTAGAACAAGCAGAATTGGCAATTTCCCCCTATTGCTTTGATCCAGCTAACATGTCTGGCTCATTTGCAAAAAAGCAGCTCCACACAGAGCATACCGCAGTGACTGAAACAGAAGTTTACAGAGCAAGGACAGCAAAGCCATTTCTGTTGAGAGAGGATTACAACTGGTGGAACTGCTTCAGTGGATAAAAGGCACTCTGTGCAACTGAGGCTCTCTTCCTCACCAGTGATGATGATCGATCTAGGAGCATCTGCAATTGCAAATGTGATTCTTTAGGATTCCCCCTTCACACAAGCCACCTCAGTATTGAACAATATTAAAAGCCACATCAGTAGGCTGATCAAGCAGCTATTAACAGTGCCTCTGTGTTATTTGGACTGCGTCTCAGTTCATTGGACCTCATCCAGTTCATTACTGTTCCAGGCACTGAGTCAGAATATTCACTGCTTCACTGGAGTTAGATGAAAATGAGAGATAAGACCTCTGAGCCCAACTTGGATGACCTCTCCCAGCAGTTTCATGTAGATGTTAAAGTGCAGGTAGGATGAAATAGAGTCCTGTGGAACCCAGTAGTATAACTAGGGATGGACACATCCGTCAATCTCATATTTTTTCATGCTCCATTGTAAATTCATGCCATACTATTTCATCTTCTGTCTGTGGCATTTTAAAAAATCAGGTGTACAAACTCTGTATGCAACTCCAATATGTACATTCATGTAAGCATATTTGCCTATGTACATTTGTCTAACATACATATTTTTCCAAGTAGTTTTCCTTCATATAAATGTGTGTGGCAAGGGGCATTTGTCACTAATATAAACTCCCTTGTGCACGCTTTCTGTTAGTATGCACATTTTTGTACACACTTCTTTTTGTACACTTAACTGTGGCGTACTAAGAGCTATGAATAATGGAAAACTCTATTCCAGTTCATACATTGATTTGGGAAGGGCAGACTGAACTAAACTCAGGAATCAAATCAAACTCAGGAATCAAAGTTTCAGTGCATCTTGTAAAATCACTAATTATAATTCTGCAAAGGCCATGCCTCTTGGTGAGTTAAGGTGCAGTTAACAATAAGATAACATTTGAAACTTGTATAATTTGCAGGTGCACATGTCTAATTGTTTCATGCATTAAACATTATTGTCGGTATCATCCAATAGCATTACAACATGAAGGAAACAGATAGTAAGCAATGGGCCCACAGTTTGTTCAAGAGCTGGACTTGGGTGAGAAGGTGAGCGGACAGGGGTGGAACATTGTAAGTTTGTAGTTAAATGTTTTTTTTTGAAAAATCCTGAAAAACCAGAAATAAGGTGTTAATAACAAGAAGAATAACAGTTTTGCTTTTGCTTTAGCAGAAGCAGAGGCTTTCTGTAACACCTCAGGAGTATAGTTAAGCATCACCAGTGGTCTCAGCCAGCTATTAGCACATTATCTTGAGGATCTACATCATTAGTTTAAATTAGATTCAGTTAATTAGCCAGCTGGTACTCTTCTTGTCAAACTGATAAACAAGCTGTGCTTCACAGTTCCATAATAGTGAAACCATTTTTAAAAATCAAACAAAAATAGAGTCCCCTTTAAAAAAATCAAATCTAGAAATGAAACATGGGTCTGATAGATGTTATACTTGACTAAGTTTATTGACAATGATGGAGGAACTACAGTGGAGGACACATAACAACCAAAAAAGAAACTCTACTTTTAATGGGAATTATTGAAGTAGATTTTTAAAAAGTTTTCTTACCTTGTAAGACAAAATGATGTTATATGTTGAAATAACACTCTTATTCCATGTATGCCTTGCCTGGTCTCCAGAATCTAAGCATTGACACTCAAGAACATTTTGTTGTTTGATCTGCCACCATGCTTGTCACTATGAAATCCCTGATCACTGTGTGTGTGTGTATACATATATAATACATGCCCACATACTTGAATGTACAGTTCATTATGTAAATGAAAAACTGTTATCAAAGCATATACTTCTAAAAATATCACTCTATGAGTAGCATTGTCTCAATTTCCTTCCCTGTCCATGATGAATTCTTATTGCATTAATTCATGTGATTGCTGCTTGAAGGTTATAAGCAATTAGCAATTTGCCATTCAAAAAGAAATGTAACTCTTCTCTGTGAATCTGTAGTCAATATATTTTACAATTTTCCTGAGTTAATCAAGAAACATAAAATGTGTCAAGAAAGGTAAACATGATTGTTTTACCACTTTTGTATCAAACTTTATAATAGCTTGGCTATGGCATACATTTTAATTAGGTACAGAATGATCCTATTTCTATGCCATATTGTTCAAATAATGAGCACAGTTTGCTGTTCATGTAAAAATGTTCTAATTCAAAATTAATCAGAATGACTTCAATAACTGTTGATAGTCTAATGCAAAAGTATCAAGAAAGCTTCATTTCTGTTTACTAGTCTCTTTTGTGTGATACTCATGTTATTACACAATTGAAAACACTAATTCATTGCTCATATCTTGATCTTCTTTAGGCAGTAAGTACAGATCCTGTTCCAGTGAAACTTCACTATGACAAATCACATGACCAAGTATGGGTTCTCAGTTGGGGAAGCTTTGATAAGACATCTCCAACACTACAAGTGAGTATACTTCAGGTTCAAAGTATCATCCTGTACCAGGTTCAAAGTATCATCCTGAGTATTCATGGAGATGAAGGTTTTGTCTGAAAAATCTCCAACAGCAGATGTTCAATGCACATATCAAGTTCTCCTGGCTAGAAGAATATCCCCTTAGAGGTTTCCTGCTGGGTACGTGAGACCTCAGCACTTACAGTGGGGTGGTATTTTTAAACAAGCTGCTGTCATTTTCAAATTGTTCCAAATGAGAATTATACCTTGTATTCAAGTTGATATTAAGAAATACCAATGTGAAAAAACACTCCAGTTTAAGAAGTCTGTAGATTCAGCTGCAGGAGAGGGAGCCATTAGCACTATGTTTTGGCAATGACAGTGCTTCATGTGTTACACTGAGTGGGACATCAAAATGACTTTAAGTTAAAGATGGATCACAAAAAATATAGCAACAGCTTTTATTTGGCTTCCTTCCATAGACTTGTCAGAGCATTTAAAAAAACAGTAGCATGTGGAAAATCCAACCATACCGTTTCTTACCATAAATTAATTATTTGGCTAGAAACATGATGTGAATCAAATAGAATGCACTGGGGGTAGGTCTTTAATCCTTACAGCCACGTCAGGGGATAGAGCCATGGAAAGGAGGCATTGGTGTATTGTTTTAAAGCAATCTTAGGCAACCTGGTACGCTCCAGATATTTTGGGCATGAAGTCTCAGAATCTTTGGTCATGAATCCTTAGTCATTGTCCATTCTGACTGGGGACGATATCTGGAGGGTTCCAGATTTCCTATGCCTTGTGTCTAAAAGGCAAATTGAATAATTTAGAGAGGTAACCACCAGTGTATGTGATCACAGTGTTGGGATGGGGTGTGGTAATGGTGTGGAGTTAGGGTTGCAGGAAACAGAACAAGAGCAACCATAACAGATGGCCATGCAATTGCCTATTGAAGACACATTTCTCTTGCTTATATACAAACAGTAATACATTTATGGGTACTGTATTGAACACTCTGTGGTTTTCATTAGAAGCACTTTATAATCCAACAGATATATGATGGTTTTTCATTTCACAGAACCACTGGCTAGTTCTGGGAGTCATTAAATTGTAGCAAAGTAGTCGAAGGTGTATTACCCCAAATATAGAAGCTGTGCATTGCTTTACATCCCTTCTTTCTGAATGGATTTGCTGAAGCTGGTTATTTTTGCATCATTTGTTTCAAAAGGGCAAGTAACTATCAGACTGATAAGGGGATCGAGCTGGAAAAAACTTGTTTTGTAGTTGGGCATATTTTTGAATGAAGACTGTAATATATTGCTATTGATTATGGCTTGGTAGCTGATAGAAGTCCCTACTGAATATTATGCATTGCACTGGCTGTGCTGTAACTGAGCAATCCTTCAACATATTTATATGGATTATAAGGCAAAATTGAGCCAAAAATCCCCTTCCTAATGACAACTACATCTTTAATTTTGGTGCAACTTTATGATTTACTATCCTGGGAAACAACAGACAGTGTGTTAGTATCATTTCACAACTTTTGACCTTGTTTTAGCATTGTGAAGTTGCCCTAAATGTCATATATGTGTGAGCACAGTGGTATCAGCCACAATATCTCAATGAAATGTGGCAGTGCTAAAGTGGGAGTTTGGCATTAAAGTTGCACTTGTGCATATAATATTTTCTGATACATGCCAGTAACCTCCATTGCTGCCAGATATGTGTTCATTTGAAAACAAAGCAAAGCCTATAACCACAGGAGGTGGGGAAAATACCATCATAGTCTTAGAAATATATCATTACGTTTGTCCATGAGACTGAATAAGTGAGTAGCTTTCCTTTTATTTTGCAACTATGATAAGGTGAAAAAAATGATAAACTTGACACTTTATTGCAGAGTTTTAGTTAATTGTGTAACCGTATGGTGCCTAATAAAATAATTGTTACACAAAATATTGAGTAGAGTTAACATTAAATCACATCAGAAGATAAATTTACAAATAGGGTTGGATGTTCCTGTTTGAGACAACCTTCTGAGGAATTTTAAGGAAACCAGAAATGCTTTAGTAAAATTTGTACTATTTCTCACTGGGAGTTCTCTAGTGCAGTAGGTAAAGTGCAGGAGTTACTGATCCCTTGAATTTCCTACTATCAGCTCACTGTTATTTATTTTCACTTAGGTTTTGTTTTTAACCACATACCAAAGGTAATGGGGGACTAGGGATATGGAATAAAATACAATTTCAAAAATAAACAAAATAAGCTTTGTTTATTTTTATAACGTGATGATAGCTTTATTTTGGGCAAGAGCACCAAGACGATGTGGTCATGGCTTTACCTCAACATAATTTAATGAAACATAATTGATTCAAATGAATCATTAGTGCAACCAAACATGTGAGTAATTGTACACTGTGTCCTCCAGGTGATAACACAGGCTAGTGGAAGTATTTCTCATCATACTATTCATACTCAACCTGTGGGGAAGCAATTTGACAGAGTGGATGACTTTTTCATTCCTACTACAACCCTCCTAATCACTCACATAAGGTAGGTGGCATAAAACTGTAGCACAGCCAAGGCTTGGAGCCAAAGTCTGACCAGATATTCAGTATGCATTTGTTATTTTCAAATTCAACCTTTCTATATGGTATTCAGAATGGAGGGGTGGTTATCACACTGTATCTTCATTACCCTTTATGAAGAAAGATGGGCTAAGATATAGTGACTGGTCCCAGGTCACTCTGCGCTTGGATGTTCCTCATCCACAACCAAGCTTCCATTTTCTACATTCCATTGGATTCTTTTTTGTCCCTGAGCAAAAAAGTGGGGCTGGGGAGCTGAGAGAGAATCCTTTGGATCTTGCTGATCCACAGCCTCTCTCCACACTTTCCACTGATCCACCCATTTCCCATTTCCTCCCTCTTGAGGTAACTGTACCATCAACCCTGGTTTTCTGAAGGAACTGGGAATGAAGTTCTATCTCTTGCCTTGGAGGAGAACTGCAGCATCTGGTGGTTTCTTAAGAAATTTTATGGAGGAATACAATTTACTAAAAGATCACAATAATATGATTCTAGAAAATGCATTCCCTTTTTTTCGGGTTAATTACAGGTGTAAACTTTCACTGGATTTTACATCTTACCTTACTTTCCCACATTACCTAAGCTACATGCAAGGTTGGATCTTTGTGCAAGTAACCTTAAAACTATCAAGTAACATATGATTCGGATAAGGAGTTTAGAGGAATACTAGCTCATTAGAAAGTAAAGATTTTGCATTGACAAAGAAAAAAATCTAGCAAAACTGTCAATTTTGACAGACTTTAATTTGTTTTATTCTATATTATCAGTTTGTTAATCGGCTTGTTCTATATTAGCAGTTTGTTAATTTTTTTAATGTCTTCACAAGGATTAATATGCATTTTGTGTACATTTTTCCTCATAAACTATTTCCCCTAATATGTGACTTTTTACAAACAATTTTCCATTATATAATGCATGTGTTTTTCCTTCATATGCATACATCCGTGCATTGGATAATCGTGTTACAGCTTTCAAAGTTATAAATATGGAACTACTGCTGTGGTTTGTTTCACATATTAGTTTTTGAAGTGCATATTAAAAAGTGCACCCAACAAATTTCCACACCATCATATTGTTAATACTAACACTCCTAGAATAAATGGGTGAAGGTGAAATATTTTGGGGAATGTGTAGAATTCAAGGCAGTTCATGGTAAGGCTAGCCAAAAGACTATATGGGTGAAACATTCTTATTTATGGAACTTAGAGGAAACATATTGATTTAAAATACATATTTTAAATAGTATTTAGGTCAGAGCTAGGAAAATTAACACTCCATTGATAAAAATTATGGGTTTTCTTTGTTGGACATCACATACCAGATGATTTGGAATCATATAAATATTAACATCAGAGCAATGAGAGTTCACAATTAATATAACTGTCCCCATTTGAGATATTGTAAGAGTATGGTATTGTCTGTTTTAAAGAAAGCTATGCACTGAAAGAATACTTAAATGGTTGTTAAAGTATATTTTGCTCATTAAAACTCGTGAATTTTTGCATATGTTCTATAGTATCATACTATATTTTCTTGTCATGTAAGTATTTTTGGTAGTACACACTGGCCATCATGGCTTTTGGATTCCCACAAGCATTTTCTTGCAGATGTGCCAATCACAAGTTTCAGGATTAGTCTTCAAAATCCATAGCCAATGTAGGCATCCCAAACATAGATAACACAGGCTTTTGAATCCTTTTGTTGCACATCCAACTGTAGTTATTGAACATGTCTTCAGTAGTCCTCTATAGCATTTTTGATATTGCTGATGTTATTCACAAGTAGCATATAAGACACTGCAGTACATTTCCCTGCTGGGCAGGTTTTCCCAAAGTATGTGAATGTAAGACAGGAGAAGACCAGGCAGTGTTCGTTGCTAGAGCTGCTTTCTTTACCACTATTTTTACTCAGTGACTATTTAGTGCAGCAATTTTTGGTGCTTCTAAAAAAGGAGAATAATGTCTAATACAGCAACTAAAACAAAGCACAGCATGAGGTAAAAAGCTTGATGAGAATAGATACAAAAAGGCACATATTACAGCATTTTACAAATATGTCTGTGTTGTACCTTTCTGTTAATGAGCAACATTCAGGAAAATCTGTGCTATTAGGTAAATATTCATAAACAAAATGGCATTAGTATCCATTAGGAACAACCAAAAAAAAATCTCTTGTATCTCATTCTGACTGTTTGCCCTGATAATTTTTAATGAACATAAGAGTATAAGAAGAACCATACTGGATCAGCCCGAGGGTCCATCTAGTCCAGCATTCTGTTAAAAGTGGCCAACCAGCTGTCCATGGAAACCCACAAGCAGGACGTGCTGCAACAGGACTCTTCCACTCCTGTTGCCCACAACAACCACCATATTATTATTGTAGATGAAAATTTCTGCTGCATCTTTAGGTGTTTTGATTATGGCATGCTGGGACAAAGACATGTACCAACGAAAGTGAGTGCTCTAGGGAGGAAGAAGCTCTTACATACTTTAGAATACTTTGTTCCAAATGGAATAAGAAATTAGTGCTTTAGAACAGGAAATTACATTCTGTATTTTATACCCTAGGAACCCACTCCCTTTGTATTTCATAAACGGAGGTGATTGAATTTATCCCTTTTAGAGTGTGGAACCATCACAACCGTGGCATGAATGAAAGAATTATGCAGGCAGTCTTTAATGTGCTAAGGTATTTTTGCATTAATAAGTTGAAAGGATAACCAGATAATAAGCTGGAGATGTGCGGCTGAGTTGTAGAGAGTGTACAGGGCTTGGATGAAAGATCAAAGTTCACTCTGTGGCCTATCTAGATACTGTTGGGAACTGGAAAGCCTGAAGAACCATTGACAATGATGTAAACAAAACTGAGCTAGATGGTCTGGCGTAGTATACAGCAGCTTTCAATGTCTCTAACCAGAAAAAAAAAGAATATTTTTGCTTTGTACAGCTGAATGACTTTTTTAAAAAATAAGTTTTATTATGATAATTTTCTACAAAATAAAAACTAAAATATCAGTCATCAAAGACATTGGACATATTTGGTCAGCCTCCCATGTTTTTTATAACAATCCATAGCCATATTGAAATCTACGCATAGTCCCATTTCTCTAGCCAATAGTAAAAGGAGTTCCAAGTTTGATAGAAATATGCATCCTCTTTCTCCTTCAGAGACAAAGTCAGACTGTCTATTTTAACACAATCGAAGATCTTTTTAAAAATCACTTCATCAGTGGGTGGTTCTTCACTCCTCCAATGTTGGGCAAATACAATCCTTGCTGCAGTGATTATGTGTAGAATCAGATATGTTGCTTTTTTATCGACATCATCAGACACAATGCCTAATAAAAGAAACTTCAGGTTTAAATATTAAAGGTTTTTGTAACATTTCCTCAAGCCATTTATGTATTTTAACCCAGTATTTTTTTTGCCTTATCACAAGTCCACCACATATGATAAAAAGTACCAGGTTTACATTTCCAACATGTATTTGACATATTTGGAAACATTTTTGCTAATCTATTTGGCGATAAATACCATCCATAAAACATTTTATAAAGGTTTTCTTTATACGAGGTTGCAAAGGTTACGTTAATATTTCTTTCCCACAGCTTTTACCATTTCTGTAACTCAATATTATATCCAAAATTTTGTGCCCATGTTATCATAGTTTCCTTAATTTGTTCGTCTTTCATTCTCATATCCAAAAGAAAATTATACAGTCTTTTAATCATTTTTTCATCTGATTTTAAAATCATTTGATCAAATGTTGTTAATTCCTTATAAAAACCACACATTTTATAATCTTTAACATAACATGCATTTGAACCTTATGCCGCCAAGAAATATCAATACCCTGCTCTAGTAATTCTTGATTCAGTTTCAATTTTCCATCATTCTCCAGAATATCATCATATCTCACAATCATATCAAAAACCAATGCATTTGGATATACAAGAGCTTCCATAGGGGAAACTTAGTATACAGTGTTATCTTTAATTTTTTTCACACAACATTAATGACTTTCTAATATAATGATTTAAGAAACAACCATGTGTCTTACACTTCTCATACCACGTATAAGCGTGCTATCCAATTTGCAGATCATGCCCTTCAAGATAAAGGTTTCTTTTTTTTTTTTTATACAGTTGAATGACTTTGAAGGCTTAGTACCTTTCAGCAAATGTTCCTTCCTATCACTGTGTCTAGGCTTCATGATACCAACAAGAACCCTGCATCTAGTCATCAGTCTGAGAAACCTAGGAAGCGTCTTTTGCTTAATGTGCAATTCTAGAATGAAGCTTCTTCAAAGTGAACTTGTAATGCACCTTCCCTTTTTAGCAGTTCTTGCTATGAAATGAGGCAGAGCCTTCATCCATTCAAAGTGATGGTTATGTTGCTCCATGCAATTTCATCTTTGGTCTTTATTGTATTTGTAAGATATTCAAAACTCAAAGATGTTTGCATAGCATCATGTCAACATTTTTGTTAGGGGATCCCTAATTGGCTGGTATTATCCATATGGCTATTCCAAGGGGAATGGCTTCCTCTGAAAATTGACACCACATTGCAAGAATGGTGGCACTTCTGCAAATAACACCAAGTAGCAGCTGATCAGAAATCCAGTGAGCCAGAGAAACCAGCAAACACAGTGCCTAACTTCCATCACTTCCATCTGCAGGCTTGTTTAATGTCCAGAAGATGTTTTTATACAACCTGATATATTATTGATGCTAAAAACAGCTAGCAGCAAAGGTGTTTCTATCCTTATCTGATAGACATCACAGAAAGAACTGAAAAGAAACTGGATGGTTTTACCTGATAGAGATCCAGTCCTATTATATATTTTCTATTTGTATATGGTGATTCTGAAGACCATGGCTTTTTTTTTCACTCTTCCTTCTGAAAATTTCTCCTGAAATGCAAGAGCTTGTTTCTCATTTCTGTAAAGTATGTTCTGACCTTGGCT